TGGCAACAAAATTTGAATTTTACAGAATGTGTTACAGCAGACTGTATGTAATTTGATGGATTATCAGATTTGTAGCTTTGGTCATACCAGCTTATACTAGAAGAACATGGAACTATAGTATGATGCAAGAGTTACACAAAACCTGAGTGAAGGGTTTGTGTAAATCCAAGGATTGGGGCACACAGAATCCTGCTTGACAAGTTTTGAGTAGTGAGATAGTACAGATCTTTGATGGCACTATATAAAGGATTATCACCAAAGATCTGAAAACTAGACAGAATCAAGGTGTTTGGCAAGACACCATACCAACCAGGTCATCAGTGTATTCTGAGGAAGATGTTCACCCTTCTGAGCTATCTGGATTGAGAGGTTGGGGACCAGTGAAATAGTAAATAATTCATAAAATGGGTGCTGAGGTTTGGGTGAACTCTACAAGGGCAGTAGTAGGTAATAGTAGCAGCTTCAGCTTGCAAGTACTTGTTCTCAAACTTGGTGTAAATTACTGAAAGTTTAGACTAGCCAGATTGTGGATATGGAAAGCTCTAGCAACGATGCCTCGAGGATAAATTAGTTTTAAAGCTACAGTACACATCCAGAACTCTTGACTGACGAATGTAATGGAGTGTTCTGGTGATACAAAGGACAGTGTACATTACAAAGGGTTTAAATAAGTAATCCTCTAGTTGGATTATAGGTATAGCAGCTAGTGTAGAACCTTAGTGTATAGTTATCTATATGCAGATTACTTAAATAGGTGCTCAAAAAGCATACATGTAGCTAGTTGTACTCTCTAATGTAATTGGAGTTCCATTGTGAGCTCTCCACCCATTATACCAAAGAGGCTAGTTATAAAAAAAAAAAAAAAAGTAAAAAACATTGTATCTGTATAAAATAGACATAATATACAAGTTCTTTGTATTGGATATAAAGAATGTTTAGTATTTGTTGACAAAACAAAACAATTGATTAAGCTTGCAATCACAAAAAACTCTGTAAGGTTTATTTGTTTAAAATGTTTTCAAGAAAAGGGTGGACACTTATTCAAGAGACAAAAAAGTAGTTTCAGATCCTATTTTTGTCATGAACAGCATACTAATGATAGTAAAGAAGTACTTTCTTTATTTAGAAAATAGCTTATTGATGTCACAGTATCTCAAGATGAAAAGCTAAAAAAAAATTTTAGCAAAAATCACATTATCATTCAGTGAACTTTTTCAATTAATTAGAAATAATAATCAAAATAATGATCAAAATAATTCAAACGAATTGATGCCAAGTTTAATAGCTATAAAAACAGCTATATAGCTTGGAAAAATAAAAATAAACAAATTAAAAGAAAATATCAATTAACTAATTATTTAATATATGGGGTGCATCAAACTAAAACACGGCTTATGGCATTTTTTGCAAAAATGAGTTAAACATACAGTCATATAAAGTAGACACTCTTCTAGATAATCTGATATTTAAAATGTTGATTTACATAATAAAATTTTTGTCGATGCCTTCTTTTTTAAATCTCATATATGGTTAGCCGTGATCTAAAATTAGAATTCAGAAATCCGATTGTCGATCCTTGCTACAGAGTCATAGAAATGCATCTGTGTGATTGGCTAATTGATGTCGATCCAACAGTTTATACTAATAATAGATCATCATTGTTATTGTTACATAAAATTTTAAATGTGATTTTCTCAAAATTTAAAAAAAGCCATAAGCCATGTTTTAGTTTGATGCACCTCATATAATGATCAAGACAAAAAGCTTGGAGAAATTTTTAGTCAAGCTATATGGAATACATGTTCATGCATAATACAAAATAAGAAGGTATAGTAGCCAACAAAAGTAATGTCTAATTTTTGCCCAAAACATAAAAGTTTTATTTATTAATTTTTGGCTGCACATATATTAATTTTTATTTTTTATTTTTTTAATACTTGCAAGAGTAACCTCTTATATTTGTGATAGCCTCGATTCTTCATATCATTAAATCTGAAACTACATGAAGAACTGATATATCCAAATTTGACTATACTTCTTTCAGAGCTGCTTTAAGCACAGGTTTATTCCTTGGAAAGTCTTCTTGGTTTTGAATATTGTCCTTTACGATCTTCCAAATATTTTCTATAGGGTTAAAGTCAGAGGATCATAAAGGCCAATCTATATAATTAATATTTTTTGAATTAAGCCAATATGACACCTTATGAACCAAAGCATTATTATACTGGAAAATCAGATGGGAGTTAAGTAACCAACAAGAAGCAGCTATAAACAGTACGAGGTAATCGTCTAGAACCTTGGTATAAATATTTTTATTAATTTTTTGCTTTGGTTCTTTGTAATCATTAAAAAAAAACTAAGGGACCTTTGATTATATCAACATAACATGATCAAATCATTACAGAGACCCTTTTGCTTCTAAAATGCGGTTGCAAACACTCATATTTGTATTTTTCATCTGCACAATGCCATACTCGAACTTGGCAAGATTGTTTACCCACCTCTATACTTATTTTATCTGAAAAAATGATACATTTTCAATAGTAAGCATTCTTGTTTCTATGTTCTTTGCACCATTTTATACATCTGTCTATATTGTCTTGTGATAAAAAAGGTTTCAAAGTAGCAATACAAAAATGAAGCCCAACATTGTGCAAGGTCCTAGCTATAGTTTGTATACTGCATTGAAGGTTTAAATCCTTTACAATTTTGAGTAGAAGCACTTGTCTTTCTTTCAATGCTTTTTTTACTATAGCAATTTTTTCTCACTTCTTTAGAGAAGAGAATGTCCGGACTGATGTAAGTTTTTAATTTTTTTGGTCCTTTTGTACTTGGCTAAGAACCTTCAAATTGTTGTTGGGATATGACCAAGCTTTTTAGCAAGTTGCTTAGCACTCATAGTTTTAATATAAGCAAGAATTATTCCTTCATCTTTATCAGTCATTATTTTGTGCAGCATTTTCATAAAAAAAATTTTTTTTTTTGTTTTGAGCTTTTTGTTTCAATGCAAAGGAAGCAAAAAAAAATTGCCCTAAAATATAAAAGTATAGGGTATGCATGGCCCCTTTATTTGCTCACATATGATGATCTGCAAATTGGGTGTTACTTTTGTTGGCTACTGTATTTGAATCACCAAAATCACTTAACCATTATCGTAGTAGTTTTCTACAATTTTTAAAAAAATTTTTTGAGAGCCTTATAGTATTTATACAAAAAAAAAAGTATCAAGTTTATATAAAAAAACAAAAACAAAGACATATTAATATAGAACTAGCCAAATTTGATCCTAAATGTTCTTATAAAATTTCTACTTTTATTATATCTATTATTCTTATAATTACTTTTCCAAGCATTAATATATAGTTTACATATATATTGACTTCGCTTTGCAGAAAACCAAATCTTTTACTATCATTATACTCAATTTTATGTATAACAAATGTTTGTATCACATTCTCAATGTCATGAAAGATGGCTTAAAAAAATCAACAAAGTTAATCAAAGCCAGAAACATAATTGCTTGAAGGAGACAATATTTGAAGCATATGTATATTAGATAATATTGATTTTAAACAATGGTCTTTTGTATTTGGAAATATATATGATGTTATATATATAACAAAGTATACATGTTTACTATAGTATTTCAATTTACATTACCAGTTTCTCTTGAAGAATTTTTTTCTAAAACTTCACAAGAAAAGCAAGTATTGAAAATCAGTACATCTGATTTTACAGTAAAAGAAATTTCTAATTTTTGAACAAGTCTTTTACAAATTATTAACACTTGACAAAACTAAAGTTGATGTAGATTAAGTTTATAAAGAATTAATAATGATAACTAAAGTTGATGCAGAATCAGGATATAAAGTGCTAGTACCAAATGTTGTTATTTTAGAACTAGGCAGTAACCTATGTTCAGATGAATCAGTCACAAAACATGTAGCATGTTTTTTGATAATGTAGGAAAAAAGGCCAGTAGACATAATAAAATTGATGTGGTTGCAAATAAAGCTATTTTCTGATGTTTAATTTCCTATCATAATACTCAACCAAATATTAAAATTCTTTTAGGTGCTTGGCATGCCAATAAAGAAATGTGTTTAACCTTGATTACAATATTTTCAGGTTATGGAATATTTGATCTAGCATCATATCTTGGAGTACGATTTCTTGATAAATTGGAAAAAGTTGTTGACTATCCAGCAACATGTCGTGTATTAGAGCTTATATGGATTTCTGTTGGCCTTGCACTAAGTGAAATTGCTCAAACTACTAATAGTAACTTTACAGTAATTAAAAATGGTAATAACCATATAATGAAAGTCTGGCTTCTGTTTTTTAAGTGGGGTAGTTATTGAATAGGCCATAAAATGGGTATTCGATATGGAAATTATCAAATGCAGTTTCAGAACTTAGCTGCATTCGCTCCACTTTTTGCTATAGCAGGCAAAAGTAATTATTCACAATCAGTTGTTCATTTTTTACATTATTTATCTGAGGATCCGGAATTATATCTCTTATTACAATATGCTCCATCAATAAATTTAACAAGAAAAGGACATTTTTTTGCTGTTGATGAGGCTCTCAAGCACTTCGGTGTTAAATATGTTAAGGATAATATTGGACTTTATTTAGGTGATGAGGATAAAATAAAATTACAAATATATTCAATTCAAGCTGAAAGAGAACGCTTAGATTTAATTTTGCATTACTATGTTGGAGATGATACTATTATTCCTAAAGATCGTAAACTGATATCTAGATGTAATAGAATAGATAGTTTAAAATGCAAATTAGTTTAGGTGTTTACTCAACAAGATTTAAATATACATAAATTTTTTGAAAATACATCAGAATATACAGGGGAAGGTTTTAATAATTTATTTACTTGTTACAATATAGGCATTGAAAGACTAAAGGAAATTCATTCACAAGAAATCACCAAAGATATTCCTTACAATACTAAGGGGCGAAGACAAAAAAATATAAAAACTAACATGATCTATCAAAAAAAAAAAGCTGAAAAAAACTGTAAAGATACAGAAAAATTAATGCGTTTACTTAAAAAAAAACATCCAGAAAGTGATTTTTCTATTAACGTTAATACATCAGAGCATAAGATTATTAATACAGTGAATAATAAAGGTTTTACTTCAAAGAAAAAAAAACAAAGAAACTTAACAAAATCTGAAAATGAGATTTTTGAAAGATTAATTAAATCTGATACATTGTCACAAGAAGAAACTGAAACAGTATTAACGGAAATTCGAACTTTATCTGATACTAAACCAGAAGAATGGGATTCAAAAAGAATTCGAGAAATCTGGCTTAGAAGGTGGTTGATAAAAAAACAAAAGGTTAGTACCGGGTCTTTATATCACAATACTTTATCATTATTATATTTGTTAGTTACCTGAATAAGGTTTAAAATTATGGTTACTTATAGAACAATTAGTTGATATAATGCATTCACTTGTCAAGACACAAAGGATATGTCAATTTGATGAAAGTACCAAGCTAGCTACCGTGGTCTATATTAAAGAATACTTAATACCAATATCGATATTACAAATATAACTAAGCTATCATTGAAATTTAATTGAAATAGATAGTCATAATTTGTCAAAAATGAGAAATATTTGTGAATAAGAAATATTTGTAAGCGTGAATATTTAGTTTTCATATTGTTATATTCGAATTATTGAAAATTCGCTAAGATTGGTGCTGAAAAAATAACAATATATCCTTTTCAGTTATGAAGTCTGAATTAGAATTGCTAAAGAGACATTTAAATATGAGAATAAGTCTAACAATACGTATTAAACATGCAAAAAAAAGTTTGTCAGTAATTGTTACTGAAATGTAAATAGATCCCTTTTATTGTTATTAATAATATTTGAAAGAGAGTCAGAAAACATCTATCAACATAAAACTTTACAAATGATAAAAAATAAATTTATTTGAGCTTTCGAATTCGAAAAAAAAGTTCATAATTTTTTTAGATCTTTAAATAATAGATCTTTAAATAATCATTATAATAAAGATGAGGTTGTCCATATGTAAAAATTAAATCAATTTAATAAATGTCAAAACATAAATAAATGAGTAGATTTACCAAAAAAAATTGTTAGTACTGTCGTATTAATTAATTGACCTGCCCATATTTTAAGTACACATATCGATATGTGTATTATTTCGAAATAAGGGTCGATTTTCTGAACCCATTATTTTTAAAACAACACGCAACCTAACTGAAATACTGTTGATCGATCTGATCCACTGTCTTTCCAAATATCCAATAACTCACTTTCTCTGATATCCAATAGTCTATTCGCTTAAGATTTTGGCATAGCGATAGTCACATTATAATGTCTATCTATCTGCTTAAGTTATCCGGATAAGATTCTGAATTATTTCCATATTCTTAAGTCTACAATTCTTAAAGCATATTTAATGAGACTGCCGAACTTTATATCGATATAAATAAATTGGTTTATTATATGTTAAACAAATAACAATTAGCCTACCTCTTATAAGTA